CATGTAATCTTGGATACGCTACTGAACCTCTATAATAATGTTGCTCCGGGGCTGGGGATTTAGCTCAGCGGCAAAAGCGCCTGCCTGGCAAGCGCGAGGTCGAGAGTTTGATCCCCGGTACCACAAAAAAAAAAAAAAAAAAAAAAAAAAAAAAAAAATCCTTTGCTCCTACTTTAGTATAAAATCCAGCAGGGAGGTGTCCTACCTGTGGCTTCCTGCTATTGGATCTGCAGTCCTGTAGTATCCTGTGTGTGTGAGGTACAGCAAAGGAATGAATTCAGGCATGAGGGCATTGCTATGACGGCTGGGGAAGCCCTTGGGTCATAGCCCCTTAGCAAGTCCTGGGCAGCTGTGATAGGGCTAGTGGTCAGTGATCTCTTCAGCACAAGTGTTCTGCTCTGATTGAGGCCACACCTTTTACAAAGACTTCCCCAGTCTGTCCCTATGAGTGTCCATCTGGTGAGTGACAGAAGTGGTTAGTGGGCTTTGGGAGACAGAATACGCAGTGGTCACAGGATCTGCGATGGGCAATGCAGAGCTCTGTTTTGGCCTGGCTAGTGCAGTTGCATAACCCAGTGGCCCACTTGGGGGACCCAAGGGAGATTTTTGCAGGGGAAGTTCCCAGGTTAAAGAGTGCACATGTGCAAGACATCAGCAACAGCAGCAGGCAGCATGGAGCAGAGCAGAGTGCAAGATTGCAAGAGAGCCTGTCTTTATTGTGTAATTCTTATACAGCTTGTTATGTCATACTTCCATTTTTACATGTTAGCCTCATTGGTGCACGTGTAGTTGTCCACTATTAAGTCATGGTTACATAACTCTGTCCAGCTGTGCATTCACGTTAGAATGCAAAGTCGCGTCCTCAGGTGTCCTTAGACGCCCCTGAGCTTCGAAGCAGTCTGAGTGGTTCCCCACATCACCTCTTTGAGAATTTGTGGAAGCAGCAGCTGCTCACTGCAGAAAATGCCACATCTGTGCCTAGCTCCAGACCTAATGCTATAGGATTCCATGGGTACCCTGAGACCACTCGTAGGTCCTTTCTGTGTCTCCAGTCTGGAGAAAGATGAAGGAAAAGACAGCATTTGGCCTGTCTGGGAAGAATGCTTCCTGGTCTGAGACACCCCCTGCCCCCAGCCTCTGTCCCCTCATCCTGTGCTTGGAGAGAACTAAGAGGTGAAGTTTTGCTCACACATTATAATTGTTCCACTGTATCTTCTTAGAATAAATTGGTCAGATGAGTTTTCAAAGGAGATTTTCCTTTGGATTAACTTCCATCTTCAGTTATTCCATAAAAATGAATATTTGAGGCCCTGAGGCATGCAGCTGACTTTCCTGATCAGAGAAAGGCAGACTTTCTCACTGTTTTGGTTTTCAGAGATCTTGAAGAAATGAGGAGTGGTCAGCCTGCAGAGAAGCCCTCCTGGGATCGGCAGGTTGGTAGGTCAGTGCCCGGGGCTGTGGGGAGGCTTTTCCAGTCCACCCAGGCTTTAGTCTGTCTTTAGTTAGCGCTCACTAGAAGGGCATCCATGACCACTTTCCTCTCATTTCTGGATGACGTGTGGTTGGTAACATGCCTGCGTAATGCCAGACTTCTTTATGACT